TTCAGGCCTTGGCCTCTAAGTCCAAGGAAGGATTCCGCCCCCATTTTGAGATCGACCCAGTCGATAGATAGATTTGGGGACCTTTTCTGGAGGGTCCCTCAAACAGCGCCAGCTGGCGCCAGTGAACAAATCAAGAACTCGGAACGGCTCGTTAGAGGAGCCAGATATATCTTGCCCCAGTTCCCGCGCTAGAAGCGGACAACCTTCCATTGTCCAGTGACGTGTTTATCAATCCCAGAAGGGACACAACCCACATCCCTTGTGGGATTCTTCTTGCCAATCCGGGCTTCCCCCATTGCAACTAGCTGCTTTGCTGTTGCAAGTACTGACGGTTGACCCAACAGAAACCCAGCTTCTTGATTGAGAGAGGGGTTGTCAATATGGACGAAGCCCTTTACCAGTTGCGTTGATAGGTTCCCACTCTAGGGCTCCATCCATTTGGTGCAAAGTGGATTTCGTCCACAGCAGTTGGGTTGTGCCTGGCAAACAGCTTGTTTCCAGAGGTTCGGGGGCGAGGTTCATAATCCAGCAAACATGGGTGCATCCGTCGTTGTGGGGCCCTTCCCCCATTTCCCCCCCCCCCCCTGTGTTTGTTTCCTTTTGGTTCCCCTTGCCAACTTAAAAAGGGTAACTACACAAAAGGAGCCACACCCCAAAATGGTGGTCTTGCTTCTGGCTTCCCTTTGAAACCCCCCACAAAAACGGGGGTACCCCACACCTCCAACCGGGTTGTGTGCCTTCTGAGGCCTCGCCCAAGCCCCGGCGCCTCTCGGGCAGCGAGATCTCCGCGCTGCCCACGCCGGCGCGGCGGCCGCGGGAGGCGCCGAGCGGACGGACGGGCTTCCGACAGAAGCCGGGGGGGCAGCAGCCCACTCCCCGCCGTGTGCTGAAACGTATCTTCGTTTTGATGTTCACTTGTTGGCTTTAAGGGGAATCCATCACTACTGGAGATATAGTTTCTCTTATTATTATTTTTTTGCGAAAACGCAAATGGAAGCAAGAGGGCGCAAAACATGGGGTGTCCTTTTCAGTTTGGATAGAAATGGACGGGTTCCACTGGTTTGGATGGGTTTTATTCCATTTACCAGGGCCATCGATTTGTCCAGAAGGCCACCTATGACACAAAACCCACTTTCAAATCACATGACAAATCTCACTGCTCACTTCTGGGAGCTGCCCACAACCCTTTTCGGCATGGTCTTTCAAAGACGGCGCAGGGCAGCACTTGGGCACATGGACCCCAACCACCCCCCCGGCACTTTTCGCATTGGTGGGCAAAATGAGCTTTGGCATGTTTGGACTTTGTTGGGCCAATCCGCTCAGAACAGTCACAGGCCTGCGTTCTTTGCGCATTCAAAGCAGATCATCCGACTGCTTTTTGTAGAGTTGCCATGCAAACATCCTGCGCAGACGCTGTCGTGCCCATTCAGCAGCGAGCCCACTAGCAACAAGCGTCGCAATGTTGACCAAGACAGGTTCCCCATGTTATGTTTGTTACGTCACTAGCAGCTTGTTCCCAACACAACTTAGTTTTTGCTTCGCGCCTTATTGGGGATCAAACTGAGTGAAGGGCGCAAAAGGCATTGGCATGACGTTATGTGTTGAGCAAGCAGCCACGCGTGCAAACCGATCCTTTTAACTTGCGCAGGGCTTTCCTGTGCGCATGTTGCGTCATCCGACATGGCTGGGCCCTTCGAGAAGTTCACCCCAGCGACTTCCAGAGGGTTGAACCCCCAAGCTTCCCTCCAGGTCCCCCCCCCTGCCCAACAGAAAGCCAACAACATTCACTTCCATTGGCTTTAAAGGGAAGCTATCGCTACTGGACATATTTTCTCATTTGCTCCAGGGGACACCTTTGCAAATGGAGGGAATCATGAATCCCGCCATCCTCAAATTGATTGTGCTCTCCTGGCACCCTCCAGTGATCGATTTCCTCTTGGACCCATAGGCTTGACAGGCGCCATGGCAACATGGGCTCGCGGAGCCAAAAGCAGAAGCGCCATGTCCGGCTGAGTTCGATCCGAGTTCTAATTTTTCGCCGCTGGTTTTGGGATATGGGTGAGTCCTTTTTCTGGAGCTCCTTCCCTTTCCTGGGGGTTTTCTCCGGAGAAGCCGTGTCGGTTTCTCCGAGACGTCTCCATTTCGGTTTGGGTCGGGGGACCCAAACCCACGGCCCGAGAGTCACGCCGGAGGCACCGAAGAGCCAGGGACTTCCAGCGCCGCGGCTGGCGCCGAAGAAGGCGCCACGCGCCACGTGCCGAGTGACGCTGGTGGGGTAGACGTGGGAGGCTTTGGGCGCAACACCGAAAACATCTGGCGGTAGACCTTGTGGTGCATTTGGCCGAGGGGATGTGAGGACTTTAACTTTTGGCCAACTACCGGGGTTTCCGTATTAAACCGCTGAAAGTTAAACTTGTGGCAGGGGAGCAGAAAGCAACCGAGAAATGGAACCTCGGCACCTTGGCAAATGGAAAAGATGCAGACCGAATCCTGCTGAATCACAACTAGGCCCTTTCAGTTCACGATTTCGTAGCTCAGCTCGCCAGGAGGAGCCGCGGCCACAGCCGCTGCAGCCTGCGCAGAAGGACGAGTCAGCAAAGCCCCATGAGAGCTGAGAGGTCAGTGGCAACTGGTTGTCCATTCGTTCCGTGCCCTGTTTTCTTTCTTTTTTTTTCTGGGGATGGGTTTCCCATAGCTGCAGGCATCTGAGCATGTTTTGGGAATCCAGAATCGTCCTATGTTCGCTGCTCACGCGTCCACGTGCAGTTTGAGGTGACAAAACATGGATGAAGAGATCTGGTTGGTACCCACTATAGGTGGAATCAGGGTCGCTTTTGGCGAGAGCGGGTGATCAACATGCGTGCATTATCTGACAGGATGCTTTCTGCCGGAGTCGAGTCACAGGGGGTGTGCAGATTGACTGGTCAGGAGGAAGAGAAGCAAGAGAAGCAAGAGAAGCAGCGACACCAAGAAAACCGGCGAGAACAGCTGTCCTTCTGGCCTTTGTCATCAAGTTCAACTGCAGGACCACATGTTTTTTGGCTGTTTGCTCGAAAGTTTGCACTCGCCCCCCGAAAGATGCCGAGACGGGACGGAACTTGGAGAGTTGCGCTGCCCCGATTTTAATGTATACGGTGCAGCTCTCTCTTAATATGTGTTTTTTTTTTGTTTTTTTGTCTTCTTCTTTTTTCCGAGGTTACCAATTTGTCAGGGTCATGCCGTCAACTTGTCAAACGAAAAAACTTGGCGTCCGCTGTAGAGCCTGTGGCTTTCCATGAAAAAGAAGGCAGGCTTCCTTTCGCGTCCAGGAGAGGGCAACGAACAGAACACCGAGCCAGAGCCCTTGCTTGAGCTGACGCACGTACTGAGCCTCGATTGCGAATGGAGGGAGAGGCCTGTGGAATTGGATTGCAATGTCCTCCAGCCGGCCCAAGTCACCATCGAATTGCTTCGCTGTTGTTGGCAGGTGTTTGGGTTTTTGGTCTTGTTGGTTCTGCACTGTTTTTTCCCCAGATAGCTGAAAGCTATAGGGGTTCTAACTTCTAATAAAAAGGGGAAAGTGATTTGCGAGATTGATGGGAGGGTGCTAGGGGGCGTGCAGTTTGGGTGCTGGTGTAGGTGCTGTTTGGGGTGCTGTTTGGGGCTGGTGAGATTGACGGCCGGGTGCTAGCGTACATGCAGGTGACGGTGCGGGCGCATTTTTGCAAAATTGACGGTAGGGTGCAAGCAGGCATGCAGTTTGGGGTGCTGGTGCGGGTGGTGCTTTGGGATGCTGGACTTGAAACTTTTTGGGGTTGGACCATGTTGGTGGCAACTAGAACGAAAGCTCGTAGCCCCTTTTGTTTTTGGGCCATCCTCTCGGTGGGACGTGGAGTTTCGTTTTTTGGGTGCGCCAGGAACATGGTGGCCCCGCGGCCTCAGCAGGGCGCTGCTCTCGGCGCGTCCGGCGAGAAGAAGCTGCAAGCGCCCTCGGTGGCGGCTGAGCTGCTGGTGTCCTCAGCCCTTAGGACGGGGGGTCGGTGGGGGGCGGCGAGGCGGGCGGGCGGGCGGGCGGGCGGGCGGGCGGGCGGGCGGGCGGCGGACACGGGTATGTTGCCAAGTCGTCTTACAGAGGGAACCGGATGTTTTGGGAAGAATGGACGCTGGTTTGGAGCATTCTCCTAAAAAAGGGGTTCAGGGTGCCCCGAAGGTGAATTGGTTCCTTCTGTGAATTGGCGGGAGGGTGTGAGTCAATCGGATGCTATGCCAGGCGACCGCGGCCTATTTTTTCTCATCAGGGCAACCCATGTCGGGTAGCTATTGTTGAGTTTTAGTCCTTTCTATTTACCGAGGCAACCCATTTTGGGCACCTAGTTGTGACTCACACCTTCCATTTACCAGGGCAACCCGTTTTGGGCATTCCTCCTCCCACAAACAAATTTGCATTTGTGGGAGGGTGCCTGGAAGATCAATTTCCTCTTGAGACCCTCTGTGAAGTGCCATGTTAGTGCTGAATTGCTATTAGGTTGGATCTTTAGACTTGAGCGTTTTGGTTGAACTCAAGGGTTTCTACTGAGCCCACTAGAAGTCGCTTGACTTTTTGCAGAGGGGTCGTTTCAGCGACCAAGTCAAGTCAGCGCGTTGCATCGGCGGTGAGACGATTCCTTTGGTGCATGTTGCCAAGGGATGTTAGGACTTTGACTTTTTGCCAACTATTGGGGTTTTGTCGGTTTTCCATTAAACCACGAAAAGTCAAACTTTCAGCAGGGGAGCAGAAAGCAACCGAGATTCCCAGGATGCACTGGCCGGCGGACAAGCGGAAGCTGGCGCCCAAGGATGCGGCCGGCACCTGCCGTGAGGCAGCTGCAGTCCTCCAGGAGGCGTCGCTTCGGACTTCGGGGCGCGAGCCTTCGGAGCCTTCGGGGCGCGGCCTTGCGCTGGGGTCACGGGCCTCAAGTTTGAGGTCTTCGGTTCGCTTCAAAGCCCGGAAAAGATCCGGCATTGAGAACTTGGTGAACATGTGGAAGAGCTGGTTGCGGGTTAGATTAGTAAACTTACAAGTGTAAAGCCTCTCCATGTGCGGTCTCCACCAGGAAGACACTATCTAAACTCCACACCGGGCCAATTGGGTTTTAGTCTGCCACCTTCGCCAGGGCATGTCTCAGTTCTCTCGGCCTTGGATGGGGGTGCTGGACCGTAGGGTGTAGAAACATGTGCTTTTAGGTCGCCGATTTGGGGAAGTGGCCACGTTGGAATCCCCTAAGTGACATTCGTAGAAAGCGGCCCTTGGTCCACAACCACGGCAAACGTGAATGGGCGATTCGCTTGCAGATGGAGGGCTGTGCAGCCATTTTGGGGGGATTGAACCAATAAACTGTTGGGCAAATCTTGATTGATCGTCCTTTGGGGGGCGGCGATGTTCAGGACACAGTGAGAAGTTTGCAGAGAGGCGGTGCAGGGTTGGTTCAGGGTCTTTCCTGGAGGCCAAGCTCCCAACACTGCGAAAGTCGACGCTATTCCGGTTGTGTGTTGGTCAGGGGGGGGTAAAACCAATACCTCACCTCCCGAGTCCCTGGACTTTGAGTTTTTGGGGCTGGACCATTTTAGTGGCAACAAGTTTAAACTTTGTTTGCCCAATCCACTCAAGTGAGAAAATGGGGCAGGGCATGGTGCCATGTGTCACCCAATGGGATTGAACCGTTTGGGATTCCCCAAAAGCAAGCCACGAAGGGATGGAACGGTTTGGAGTCATTCCATATGGTTGCACCAGCACACTCCTAGGCACCCATTGGTTCAAATTTAGTCCCATCCAAAACACACATTCTTTTATCGGGGGACCATCTAAATCCGCTAGTAAAGGTGAAATTTCAACTGGCTGCTGGTGAGACGTCAGGCCATACTGCAGCTCTCTGCAGCTGCCAACATCTTTGAGAGTGGCAGCAGTGTCAAGGAGTCGCATCGATCGATTTGCGTCGTGGATGTTTCTCGAATAACTTGGACTCAGACCACGAGACATGCCCAAACCCCCATGCGAAATGCTGCGCCTTGACAACACACCCAACATGAGCATCATACGCTCAAAGTCGTGAAATTCTTTTGGGTGTCCTGCATCGAGTGTCAAATAAGAGACGCCGTGATGTTCCTGCTGCTTATCATTCTGTTGCCGATGTCCTGCTCTTGCGATGGTTTCGGTGTCTTCGCATCGGGGGAACTGTTGAGCTGGGCACTGTGGCAAAGGCAGGCGTTTGGCTCAGGCCAAAGCAATGGCAGAGTTGTTGGTGGTTGACAAGGTTACCTTGCAAAAGAATGCAGAAGCTGTTGATCTGGGCATTGTTTGCAGCAATTTGCAGCTGTGTAAGATTTGAACACACTGACTACTACGATGGAGGGAGGCCGCCAGAGTATGCAAGAGACGGGAACGACTGCCCCGCTAAACCTACAGCCTGGAGAAAGACCCGCAGAGCTCCCTTGCTAATCCCAAACCCCTTGGGCCATCCAATAAACCTAAATAAAGGAGCGCCCCCTGCAATTCCCAACCCCTTCGAGGAGATCGTCAAGAGCCGCGCTGAGACGAAGCGGCGGCGCACCTATGCGGGGCCCATGCCGGGCGCCGTTTCGCCTCCCGTGGGCAGCGTGTTGGCCAGCAGCGTGGTGCGGACCTCCACCACGGCCTACCGGGGCAGCCCACCCGTGGTGCGCACCAGCGGGCTGCGGGTGTGACGGCGTGCTCATCTCTGGGGTTGCTCCGCTGGCCAGTAACGGATGGGGACATTTGCGGTTAAATAAGCAGAGGGCTCTTAGGGTGATTCTTGCCACTGTTACTGGTGAGGAAAGTGATCCACTCCTTCTCTTGATCTTTGAGCCTCTCTGAAAGGCCAAGTGAGGTCCAGAAAAGGCTGCATCAATTCAAGTGGCTGCAGGCCCGAACTGTTCAGATCCAGGAAACATGGAGAGGCAACCACCTTTTTGCCTCCCAACCTCCAGTCAAAGGCACCAATTCAAATCGAACCTGCAAGGTGTAATTAATTTCCCGCACGGCTGCGATGGAAGCAGCCTCTCTGCAAGCTTTGGTCTAGGAGTGCTGTGCAAAGGCAAGACTGCCCAGTGGCACTTGCCAAGTGCTTTTGCGATCCTTAGGTTTGGCATTTTTTGTTCATCACCTTAGACAAAGAATTGGGGGGGGGTCTTTTCTGAGGCCCTTGTTTGAGTTTTGACATGGACACCAAGATGAAGCCCATGTTTTCATTGCGAGAAGCCCATGTGGCACGCCCTTTCTGTTTATGGTTTCTTTTTGCCTTGGCCGGTGTTAAGCCTGAAATCGCAGCGCAGCACGTGCATGAATCCCGTTCGCGATTCGCCGCACAAAAAGGGCGCCTCAGCTAGGAGCCCTTCTTTCGCTTGATCCAAAGGAAGAACACCAAAGGGACACCCAGAGCCCTGCGCGGCTCCCTTTCTCAGGAGTCTGGGGTATTAAAGGGAAGCCAACGCCCATGTAGAAGCTCCAGCCTTGAAGCCTTGGCTTGTCAACATGTTACCAGTTGTTGGGGGAGATTCATTCTTGGGTCCCGCTCTCACTCGCATGTGTTCCATGCGGATCAAGTGCTGGAGCGTTCGGAGCTTTGTGACAAGTTCAGTTGGCTGCTTGGTCCCTGGCTTGGGGTCAGCATTGATTATTCAAGAGCGACATCTAGGCAAGACTTTGAGGATCGTCCTTGTGCTGCTTGTTCTGTGCCAAGAGCCGTCTGTTTTTGAGGAATCGTCACGCGCATGAGTCGAAAACTTGCGTCGGAAACATGCGTCGCATGCCAGGGTCACCTCACCGAGTTCGCATGGCTTTGGCCCCAAACGACGGCGATGATGGGTGCGGTGAAGCATCACTTGAAAGCAGCAGGAAAGGTCCACCCCAAGTTGATGTTCAGCGGGGCGGTGCAATTTATTTCAGCTTCACTTGGTAGAGGCCCTTTGACATCTAGTTCACAAGGTTTCACACAGACATGACATCACTTGATGGCCGGTTTTGGTTCGGTGTAACCTGAAATTTATGTGAAGAAGAGGTGTGTGGCGGGTGGATGGAGTTGCCAGACCGTCCCAGGATCGTTGGCTCCATCTTTTTCTGGCTGCTCGCCAGGCGCTCAGCCTTCAGCCTGGCCAGGTGCCAGTTGGTGGATGCGCAACCACAAGGTCGGGTTGCCCCGGCTATCCTTTTCTCGCTTCCCGAGTTCTGGACCCGAAGGGTTTTGGGGTTGGACCAATGGAGTGAGCAAACAAAACAGTTCCAGGACTTTTTCTGACCCACAGAAGTGGTCCGGTTGCGCTAGCGAGACCTCTCAGGTCTTTGCAGTGGGCGTCTCCTTGGACGCAGCCTCGGTGTTGCTGGTTGGGCGAGGGGATGATGCTGCAACTGAGGACAGCAGGCAGAAAGCGGAGTGATTCATAGGGCCCCCGCCCTGGTGGGTGCATGTGCGTAGAGTTGGCGCTTTCCTTTGTGAAGTCGGCCAAGAGAAGAGGCCGGGTACTTTGGCCAAAGGTCACCAAAGCCCGCCTTTCAAGCGCAGAGGCCATGACGCATGCTAGCCAGGATCCGACAAAAATGGGTGGGCAAGGATTCAGGGCGGCCGCAAAAACACTGGGGAACAATCCATGTCAAGCGACCGCCCCCTTGCCAAACGCCACATTCCACTGGTCTAGGCCATGCTGCGTGGGCGTTGGGCCTTTTTGGGGTCATTTGCCAGGGGAAGTGAATGGACTCTAGCCATTTTGGGAGTCCCCCTCATTTTAACCCAGACCCATGCCAGAGCTTGGCGCATGCAAAGCAGCCTGTGAGCACTTCCCCAGCCCCTGAGGCAAGGCTCTTCAGCTAGAGATCCTTGTGGCTTCTTTGTGTCAGCTGAAGGCTCTTCTCGTTAATGTGAAACAAACTGACACAGGAGAACTGACACCCAACTAAGATGATCTCACCTACAGTAAAAACGCCCAAGTGGGATGGTCTCCTTTGGGTAGTTAAAAAAACGTGGAGGTCGCAACCCGCAACCTCTGAATCTGTTGCCCCGCTTGCGGGCCATGGCGGAAGCCCTCGAGCCACTGCTGCCGGAAGTCTGCAGCTTCGCCCAGCTGACTGAGGCTGGGAACACGGCGAAGCCGCGCTCTACCAGAAATGGTGAAGCATGGGTGGAATGTTCAGAAAGAAAGCACTCCCTAAAAATCACGCCAGGGTTTTTGGTGGGCATGGAATTGCATGTGGCAGGGGCCTCTTGAAAGCAGTTGCTTTCAAGTGAGCCCCTCCAAGCTCGTGGCCAATCAGTCGCTCTCGCACGAGTCTTCGCATTGGGCACCTCTCGACTCGAGATCAGCCTCAAGGCTGGAAAGAAATGCCGTCCCGTGACATATCGGACAAGTGCCAAAACCAAGGGGGTTTTGTCGGTTGATGCCAAAAGGGAACCAACGAATGGTTAACCTATGGCATTGAAGGCTGACTGCGGGCAGGTTCTGTCAGCGGCTGCTGTAGCCAGACACTGGCGACAAGCATCTCGCAGCGACCAGGCGCGGTGTCCAGTGTTGCCCCCAAGGCGTCCTTCGTAGGTGATTTTGGGTTGAAAGCAGATGAATTCCACTGGTGTCAATTTGGTTCTAATCCAGTTGCGAGCGCCATGCATTTTTCAAAGGGCCAGTAGAGGGCCAATCTGTTACCAGGCATTCGGTTTCAGGGGCCCTCCTAGGTGCTTACCATGGCGAAGTCATAAGATCAAAGGTCCATCAGAACCCGAGAAGAATAGCCTCTAACAGCTCTCATTGTCTACAAAGGGAAACGATCCTGATGAAATTAGTCGTGGGGGGAACCATTGTAGCTCATTCATGGGGCCATCAGAACTCCTAGTTTATGGCTAAATAACCTTTAAACCACAAGTATCAAGGGACTCAATGTGAACCGAGACAAGCGGTCTTTGAGATCACAAACTGGGTCCTTTTGGATGCAATGGCAGAGAGAGAACAAGAGAAAAAGAAAACAAATAAGAAAGAAATAAAGAAAGAAATAAAGAAAGAAAAACCAAAGAAAGAAAGAAAGAAAGAAAGAAAGAACGAAAGAAAGAACGAAAGAGCGAAAGAACGAAAGAAATAAGAAAGAAAAGAAATACATAAAGAAAGATAGAAATACATAAAGAAAGAAAGACATACAGACAGACAGAAAGAAAGAAAGAAAGAAGCAAAAAGAAGATACATAAAATAAAGACATAAATAAACAATAAAGAAAAGAAAGACATAACGAAAGAAACAACATGAAAATAAAGAAGAAACATAAAATAAAGACAATAAATAAATACATAAAGAAAGACAGAAAGAAAGAAAGAAAGTAAGCAAGAAGCAACAAGAAAACACAAAAAAAGGAAAGACAGTGAAATAAAGAAAGAAAGAAGCAACACACAAATAAAGAAAATAAGCAAAGAAAGAATGAAACAAAGAAAGAAAGAAGCAAAATAAAATTAAGAATATAAAAGAAAGAATATAAGAAATAAAGAAAGACGCAACTCAACAATAAAGAAAATGAAGAAAGAAAGAATGAAAAAAAGAAAGGAAAGAAACAAGCAAAAATAAGATAAAGACAATAAAGAACGAACAAATGAAAGAACGAAAGAAAGACTCAAGGAAAGAAGCAACAACAAAATCAAGAAAACAAAGAAAGAACGAAGCAAACAAAATTAGAGAAAGTAAAGGAAGAAGGAAAGATAAAAAGAGAAAGAAAGAAAGAAACAAAAATAGGATAAAGAAAATAAAGAAATAACGAATGAAATAAATGAAGAAAGAAAGAAAGAAAAAAAGAAAGAAAGAAATCAATAAGCAACAATAAAATAAAGACAATATAGAAAGAACTCGTGAAACAATAAAGCAATAAGAAACAAAACAAGAAGCCAAATGAAAATAATGAACATGACGAACAAAAGAATGCATGAATGAAAGAAAGAAAGAAAGAACGGACGACAAGTGAAGGAAAGAAAGAAAGAAAGAAGCAAACTCAAAGAAAATCAAGAAATAAAATACAGAGAGAAAGAATGAAATAAAGACTCAACGAAAGAAAGAAGCAACAAGAATAATACATAAAATAAAGACAGAATGAAATAATGAAAGAAGGGAAGAATGAAAGAAAGAAAGAATGAAAGAAAGAAGGAAATAAATAAGCAAAACAAGAAAGTAAACAAATAAATAATGAAATACATAAGTAACAAATGAACGAAAGAAAGAAGCAACAAGAACATAGAGAAAACAAAGAAATCATAAGAGAAAGAAAGAAAGAAAGAAAGAAAGAAAGAAAGAAAGAAAGAAAGAAAGAAAGAAAGAAAGAAAGAAAGAAAGAAATTAAGAGAGAAATAGATAAATAAATAAAGAAATAACAAAGCTAAAGAAGCAAACACAAAATCGAGAAAATAAAGAAAGACATAATGAACGAAATAAAGAAAGAAATGAATAACGAAAGCACACAGCAACAAGAACATAAAGAAAATACTGAAAATAAAGAAACCAATATAGACAGAAATAAACAAATAAATAAGCCAACATAAAATAATGAACATGAAGAGGAAATAACGAATGAATGAATGAAGCAAGGAAAGAAAGAAAGAAAGAAAGACAAAATAAAGAAGATAAAGAAGAATACAGAAACTACGGAAAAGACAGAAATACAGAAAGACATAAAGAAAGAAGGAAATAAAGAAGCCAAAGGAGAACAACGAAAATAAATCCAGACATAATGAAAGAATGAAAGAAAGAAACAAGCAAAAGGGAAATACAGAAAATAAACAAAGAAATGAAATAAATAACTAAAGAAAGCGCCAATGGAATCAAGCTGACAAAGCTCAAGGTGGAGACTCACACGGCCGAGGTGTGGATCCAGTGCTGTCGCCAGCGCTGGCACTTCGGTCGCCTCTTTGAGGTCGAGGAGTCGTTGGATCCCGGGGCCCGGGACGAGGCGTCGCTGAGGCTCTGGCAGCGCTCGGTGGCTCGGTTCGACCCGGGGTCAATTGACCACCGGGTCCATTGGGTACTGTGGTTGGTGGCGAAATCCGGAAATCGCACCACCTAAGAAACCCAACGGAATGATTCAGGATTTTGCAACCATCCTCAGTATGGAAGTTGGGGGGAGGGGGGATTTCGACCCTGGATATCTCCATGTATGGTGAGCCATTTCCCTTTTATGGGGAAGACTAGATATAGATGGAATTGGGGACCCCTTGGGTGGTTTGGATCGGTTTGGCATTTGAACCCCTGGTTCTTGTAACCCCTCCCGAACCACCAAACCACCAAACCAAACCACCAATTGTAAAAAAGCTGAAAATAATCCAGCTCAACTTGCTGGTTCCCAGCCATCGGTTCCTTAGATGTTCTTCGGTGTCTATTTGGTCTTTGGTTGGTGTGGCGCTTGGGTTTCCATTCCCACTAAAAGGTCGTCACTTTTCAGATCTGAGCTATCGACCGCCCAGTTCCTTGGGTATGGAGAGTGGACCCGTGAGGAAGTTGAGACCACAAGGAATATTATTTGAGGAGCCAGCGTGGCCCACAGGAGGTTTTGACCATGGCGCATATAGCCACAATAGGCCTACTTGGTTCTTGGATGTTCGGCCAAGTTAGGAATTTGTTGGCCGTTGGGTTGTAGCCCACGACTGGTCAATTCCACGTTGGGGAGGCTTATGGGACATACCCTAAGTTACCACGAAGTTTCTAAGTTGGCTGGGCACTCAGGACTAAGGGGTATATACCCGATTTCCTCTTCGGTAGTGGGCTTGGAAATAGTTGTCAGGATGGGTTGCGACATTTAATAGAATCTAAGTCGCTGTGGGCGATTTCAGGGTCCAAGTACCTCGATAGAGGGTTGGTCGCAAGTTTTGCTTAAACAACCAGAATGCAGCCCCGTTTAAATGGGAAAGCAACAGGAAGTTATTTAAAGGGATTGAATCGCCACTCCGCATGGATGGCTTAGCCATGTGCGCCATTTGATTTTCTCACTTTGGTGGCTGCAACCCAGTTCCTCAGTGCATGCCGCCCTCAAGATCTAAAGTCCCTTTTCGTTTTGTGGGTTCCCGAAAATGACCCCCCCCCCTTTTTCGGATTTCCTGCTACCAGGGCCGGTGGGCACTTGGCAATTGCAACTGATTGCTTCTCCCGTAAATATGCCCAACCCTAACATTTTGGGTGAAGGGCCCCACAGTTGTTTGAGTCATCTAGGCGACAAATGTCATTGCAGTCACACCATTTCTCCCGTAACCCCGCTATAAGCAAGCACAAGATCCACAACGTGAAGTTGATTGCTTGGCACGTTGCATGGATTTGCAAAAAACGGGATCCACTGTGGTTATCCAATGCTACCCATTTACCAAAGGGGGAGTCCTCCAAAAAAGTGAGGGACACTTTACTTTGGTGCATTTTGCCAAGGGATGTTGAGACTTTCACTTTTTGCCAACTAATGGGCTTTCCGTATTAAACCACTAAAAGTGAGTCACTTTTAGCGCAGGGCTTCGCCGAAAGCAACCGAGTGTTTACCGGGCTTCAATGGGAGGTCAAGAGGAAATCCTTTCCCATGTTGTGGGAAAACTCACTTCCTGCCTGAGTTTTGGTACTTTTTGGAAAGACCAGCTGAGTAGCTTGGTGCACTGGTTTCCTTGGGCAGCGGGGTTTCAGGTGGAGGAGTACAAAGCCGGCGTCAAGCACGAGCGCGCCTTTGGGTTCTTCCTGGGCCGCTGCAAGAAGGCGCGCTCGCTACGTCGAGGTCAAAGCAGCACCTGGGAACCATTCGGGGACCGCCTATTTTAGTCATGGAGTCCATTGACCAGGGTTCCATTTTGGGTACCCATTTTTGACCCACAGCCACCTGAGGTCAATGCATCACCTGAGGTCACACACAACTCGGTTGTTCACCTTTTGGTTTTCCCTGTTTGATGTTTTTTTTAGTAGGGGTCCCAAAAGGTTAACCTTTTATTGATGGGTCCTTTGGGCAAGTGAGACAAAACCCGGTGAAGTGAAGGTGAGTAAGGAACAGTCCCGACCATGAATATATTTTATGCCAGGTTTTGATTGCGGCTCACCTCTCACTCACCCACAGCCCCTTGCACATGCGTCTCATGTTTGGGGAGCAAGAGGCCGCCTTCAGCAATCTCCCTTTCACATTGCACCGCCCTGCTGGCGGCACTCCTTAGCTAAAGCTACCGGGCACCGTCCTTGCACCAGGAGGTGCGGCCTCCGACAGAAGGCAGCCCCCACAGAGAACGCAGCTCCCTAGGAACCTGCACCCCTGCTCACTGCACAATGGATTGCAACTGCTCCACTAGCTGCCGTAGCTCCTTGCCATGCCAGCTGGCGGCGCTTGGCCCCGCCGCTCCTTGGCGCCAGCATGCACAAGGATTGCCACCACTGCGTCAATCACTGTGCCCATGTCTGGATGGCCGGCTAGGTGAAGTTTGACCACACCTCGGTCATAGGCTTTCTTGATCTTGCACACGTAGATGAGGGATGCCAGCCCCTGTGGGTCCGTGGGCTCATCTCTGTGCTTCTTTATAATGTTCACCATCTCTGAAGGCGCATCGGTCGACTCCATCGCCACACGCAAGCGTACACGTGCAGCTCTCCCTTCGGCAGGGCTGTGCCTTGGTCACGCGCAGCTTTTGCTTCTTCTGTGTAGGATTTGGTTGCTGCCCTGGCTTCGACAATGAAGGCAAGAGACTCATCCAAGGTGAGCGTGCGGAAAACTGCGGACTGCAGCTCTCTGATCTCCAGCTCATTCTTCAAGGTCAGCTTCGAAATGAGCAGCGTGGCCTTGGCCAAGAGCGCCTCAGTCCCAACTGCCTGTCTCTTAGGCGTGGGACGTTCGGCGTCATCACCACGCTTAGCACGCTCTTAAGAATCCATGAGGCCCACAAGAAAAGAGGCAGCCTGACCCTTGCGCCACAAAACTGCGTCACAATCACCCGATTTGCCTTGGCAACCTTGGTGCAGCGAAGTGCGTAGTAATGTGCGCGTGTAACTCGCGCGCCATGACCAGAAAAACATGGAATGTGTTCTTGCTTAGCTTGGTTCTGCGCCATGCCCGCAGCTGCAAGGCAGTCATCAAGAGCGCCGTTGAGCGCTCCCACTTCTGTTTGCAAGTGGTCGACGTCGCGACAAAGCACTGTCTTTGGCAAGTCATCTACACACGTGGCCAGCGAAACATCAACTGCAACACCACTAATGGGATCAGCAACCAGTATCTTGGGGGCTGTTGCATTCCAAACATCAATCTGGATGTGATACACTTCGAGAAACACGTTGGAAGCTGATGTGTCTCCTTGCAGCGCTCCCGTCTTAAGGCACATGTCCAACCATCCCTGGCCTCCAGGCGACTCTTCCTGTGTGCAACGTCATCAACCGCCAACTTTTTTTGTTGGGGCAAAGATGTCGCAAATTCCATTGGAGCAAGCTATCGGGAGACACCAATTTGCATGTGTCTTTGTTTGAGGCTTAGTACCCTTCTTGTGGTTGCTTCACGCGGCGGGCAAAGGGAACCGGTTCGGTGGGGCCCGTTGCTTTTGCCATCTCGGAGACGTGAGGACGAGGAGGTGCGCCAACTCTTGCAGCAAGCTGTCCAAGATGTCACCAAGAGAGAAGAGATCCTGCAGCAGACACTGGGCAAAATTTCATGTGGTGAGTCTGGGCGAAACATTGTGAGCTGATTGGAGCTTTCAACAGGTATACCCGGGGCACATGCGTGGAATGAGACAGGGGGCTTACAGTTGTATGGCTCATGGACTCATGGGTTTAAAGGACGGGCACGCACATGCGCACGCGCACGTGCCCACGCACACGCCCACGCCCACGCCCACACACTCACACTCACACACCACGCACACAAACGAAGCTCTCAGCCCTTTGCCGACCGGCTGAAGAGAGGCAGGGTGTTTGCCCGTGGCCGACCGACTAAAGAGAGGCAGCAGGGCGTTTGCCAGGTTGCGCCAGAGCCTAGGCTGCCCCAGATGGGTGCCAACATTCTAGACATTCTCCTGAAGCTCGAAGCCGGGCAAGATGCAAAGCTGCAAGGCTGAAGGAGTTGGGATTGAGCCCTATACACCGCAGGCAACCTGAACGCATATTGCTGTGGTTGTCAAACAATGGTGTCCCATGGGTTCGAAGTGGTGCAGGATTTCGTCCATCCACAGTATATTTGTGGAGCCCTTGACAAGGACTTTGGCCTGTTCGAGGCGAGCATGGCAAATGCGTGCCCGCAAAAGGTCTCCGTAAAGGGAGCGAGGGCACCGGGGTTCACATCGATAAAACAGCCGTTTCGCCAGGATTCGGAAGCAAATCCAATGACGGGATTGTAGTCGTAGGGCACGAGGGCATCTGAAGTTTACCCCGGTCTACTTCGGTCAATGTTTGAGTTGAAACTTGTTTTCTCCAGGCCCTGTGGGCAGGTGAATATCGATTCTGTGTTTGTTGCCCACTCACAGGCACCCTTTTCCAACAATGGAGATGAGGCCTTTTCAAAAGGACTGTGGTCTTCATGACTGTTGGAAAGAGGGTAGAATGGCTTAGAATGGTAGAAACCGACTTCTGGGAGCTTCTGCCCGGAGACACATGGCTGCCAAAGACTACCTGTGTAATGTAACCCTAGCTCTTTAACTTCCATTTGCTGAAATGGGCTTTAAATATGGGAGTATGTCCCCATTTTTTGCCAGCGGATGTCTCAGCAACTGGCTGTGGGTCAAAACCCTGTACCCCTGGAGAACATCAAAATAGGCAGCAAATGGATGTCCATCCATCCCAAAATGGAGCCATAGGTTATGTAATGGCCAAATGGAGGGCAACACGTAGCCAATGGAGGGTAATGTTCACCCCGGATTAATCAACCCCAGTTTATTGTTAGGGGGATGTTTTTGGGTTTAGTCGGGGATCATTACTTTTGAAGGGGAACACCCCCTATTACTAATCTGGGGTTAATTTATATGATATGGGCTCAACATTGACACCATGAGCCACGCGCAAAACGCGGCCGCCTTCCCAGGCTGCGGTCGGCGGCCCGCCTGGCCCGGATTCACATCACGGACGCCTGGGCGCAGCAGCGCTGGGCGCATTTGATCAAGGTGGAACCCGCGAAGGCTGCGGCTTGGCATCTTATGGGGCCTGGGGGAAGCGGGGGGCTTTTTCCTTTTGTGGCGACTTGATTGAATCAAGGTTTATTAAAAAAAAGTAAAAACATGTTCAACTGTTGTGCAATGTTGTGCACATAGGTGTCCTTTTTAGGTTGGTTTGTTTCCATTGACCAGGGACATCTGTTTTCCTAAAAAGGACACCTATGGTTGTTCAACTTATTTTTTTGAATTTATTTTTTATCAACTACCCAGAGCAGGTGCCACTGCTCTGGAGCTTCAAGCTTGGCTTCGGTTTGGCCATACATTCGTTCCAATGGGAATCGAAAAGCCTTGCAAAACCCTTGGGAGAAGACCAGAAGGCAGAAAGGGCTTAGATCCTGTCCTGAACTCTCCCAAATGGAGTTCAGGCAGAAGGCACCCCCAGCTCTCGGAGTCTCTGAGCAAATCTGAAAAGTTCTAGGGGGTAAAAGACGGGAAGCCAGCTTCGGCTTGTCCTTTCTGCGCATGATCTGGCTTTGGGGACTTGATTGAGATGCTTATTCTTTGTCACTTGGCGTGCTGCAAAGCGAAAGCGGTAGGGGATGCACAGCAAATGAAAACGACACTTTCTAGGCTCGGGCAAGCAGGCAAGGAAACATCCACACCCCCGTGTCATCCCGTGCTCGTTCCTGGGATTCCTCATCAGAAAATGATATGAGTTGACCACACCCCGTGACAGAGTTCATGCACATTTACTACGTTTTGAGTGGGTCTTAGCCCATTGCACGGCGGGTTGCCAACCAGTAACAATTGTAAAGTGCTACGGTGCCCTGACAGGTTAATCAAGATCATGACAGCACAAGTGACTGGAAGGCCGCATGTGGAGGAGGCTATGGAAAGGGAGGTCAGGGGGAGGCTGGATCCTATGATTGGGCAACCGTAGTGGGTTAAATACGGACACACCACCGAACCAACCTGAGAGGAACCGGGCTGGGAAATGTCAAGTTTCACGGGTGCTGTCGTGCTTTTATTGCTGCGACCTCCAAATTGGCCACTCAGCAAGCTCTTCCAGCGCGATCCGAGGCCGTCTTGGAAGAGGGGGCTGCTTGGATGAATTGGATGTGTCCTTCTGCTAGGCTTCCGCGAGCGCGGGCACGCCACTTTGAACCACACATGCTTTGTGTTTATGGTTGAGGTTCTTATGTGTGTTTCTCTGTGTGTGCATTTCTTTGCATCTCTTTGGTGTGCTGCTTTTTCAGCTTGCACGTCGCAGACATGCCCCCAACTCTAAAATGTACGGTTTTGCAGCTGATGAAGGGAAGCATGCTGACGCGCTAGATCGGGATAGCGCTTAATTGTGGCCACCGTTCCTCCGGGCTTCCTGAGAAAGCCCGGGGAGTTTGAGAGTTTCTCGAACAGCCGACTTGCACACAGCCAGCAGCTTCCAAGTTTAGCAAGGTTTTGTTCCAAAACATGTTGACTTCGCAATGTCATACTGCTTTCTTTGCCGGCAGCTCAAAAAAAACACAAGTGTGGGCGGTAGTGTTCAGGTGCAGATGCAGAGTATAGAACCCTTTAAGACCTCGCGGCCTTTGGAGTGGCCCATTGCGTTTCTTTTCCAAGGCCTTCGTCCTCTCCCAGTGGGGCTATCCAGCCGCGGACGTGCATCGCATGCGGCAGACCCTGGAGCAGTTGGCCGCGCGGGCCACGCAGCTCGGTGCCAGGCGCGAAGGCGAGGGAGTGCCAACACAGGCGGGGGGGCGGGCGGGTGGGCGGGCGATAAAACCTATATAAACAATGTCAGCCGAATTGACCCCAATCAAATTCCATGCCCATTTGGCGCACCCTTGGTTTGAGGCTGTTTTGTTGTCGGGGCATGTTTGACTCGAGGGAAAGCACACATTTTGAGGGTTCCTCGTTTCAAGACAAGCCCAAAGTTGCTGCCTGCCAGCTTGCTGCTTGCTGCTTCTTTGTCGATAGTTTGGTTTGCCTTCGATTTCCCTGAAACATTTTGCCTTGGTTTCCTTGTGGACTCCCTTTCTTGCCCAACCACACAGGGGAGGAGAAACGCATGAAGTCAGGCGGAGGTGCGGCGCATGGTGGGTGCGCTGAACCAGGCGCTGTATCAGGAGTTTGGCCTGGCAGGGAACCAATCCGACTACTACAACCCTGATCCTTGGCCGCGATTGATTTATTCTGTTAGGTTGAGCTCTCGCGAGCTCACCGATTTTTTCGGGCATAACGGGCAAAAGCCGTGATGAAGGTCCTTATTTGGGATCCCTCAGCTTAGCCGATGGAAATTGGTTTTGTAGCGAGCTCAGTCAATTATCACGATGACATTTATGGCCCAGAGGTACATGAGGTAGGTTCTCATGTAGTCAGTTGCATGATGTACATTCAAGTCAATGCCCGAGCATGACACGTTCATTGCTTTGGCTCAAGTGCTGAAAAGAGCGCGTTGCTCGCGCTTCCCACAAGGTTAAGGGAGAGGTCGCAGTCACGGAGGGGTTCGTTCCTTTTAAGGTCCCGGGTTCCCCCGTTGTTGACAAAACTGTGTTTCTCTCTCCTTTGAGTGGTTATCAGCCGTAACGCTTTTCGGGTAAACAAACCCCTCCGTGACTGCGACCGTTTGGTCGCACATGGAAGCCGGCCCTCACCGCGGCACTCGCGGTGGGAAAGGGCCGCGTGCCCGTCTATTCAACACTCTGCAGCAGATCGTCGTTGACGAGTACAAACGGCAGAACAGACGATTCCGGTGGGTCAGGTTTGCAGACGCCTCGAAGCAACAGATCGAGGCGCTCTTTTCCTGGCGTGAGTCATTGGATAGTTGGCACCTGTGGGATTTTGACCAAGAGGCCTTCGAAGTGATCCAGGCCGCGGACAACGCTTATCAGCAGCGTCTCGCATCGGTTGAAACCACAGGTGTGGTCTTGCCGCAAGGTGTGCAATCTCAGGATAAAGCCGCAGCCTCTGGCGCGGCGGAAGCAGCGAGCAGTGCAGCGGACTGGCTACGCCCTCCGACGCCTCCTTCAGCTTCATCCTGGCTAGAAGATTCGCGCACTCCATTGCCTCGCATCAGACCATCAGCAGAGGAAAGACAAGTGTTGCGGGGCGCCGCCAAGACAGCGCTTCGCGGGGTGTACGCTAGAGCTGCGGAAACGCGGCGGGAGAGCAGCAGGGAACGGTCAACACAAAGATCGAGGTCCCCAACGCCCCGAAGGCCGAGGTCTCCATCGCCTCCGAGACGCGGACCGACTGCTGCCACCCCTGTGGAACATCGGGCACACAGTGTTGAACCCGCGCTTGCGCGGGAGGGCAGGCCATCCAGGACTTCCCTTGCCACACGGCCCATTGCTTTGGCTCCACAGAACAGTATATACCCTGTGACACGATTTGACGAGCACGGCACTTGGGTACTCGTTCGGGAGGCTTCACAGCCACGTGAGGCGACATCTCACCGCCGAGCACAGCGGACATCCGGACATCTCCGTCAGGCTGATCCGTATTCGCTTGCGGACGAGACGTGGAGAGATCCCCCAAGAAGATCATCCACAAGCTCGCGATCACGATCTCCAGATCGAAAATTACAAATACAGAATTCATCAGGTGCAAAGCAGCAGGGCGTATTTTCTTGAGTGGCTCACTTGAGCGTTTCGCAACCAGCTGCCAATCCAGGGAAATCTCCTCGTAGCACCTTTTGACACGCTGCTCAAAGCGCGTGGAGCTAGCTTCGTGTGAGTGCAAAATTGCATCGCTGTGTCATGCCTTCAACGGGCTTATCACCGCCATCAGAACCCCGTTCAAGGTCGACCCCAAATAGGGATTCTGAACCGGATGACCCTGACCTAGCCATGGTTCCTGCAGCTATGTCCACAGTTCGCACATCCACACCTCAACGAGCAGCCCAAACACGACCATCATCACCCCCAAGTGGTCCGATCGTGTCAGAACCTACATCATCCGAAGCTTCCCCAGCCATTCAGTTTCCTTCACAGGGATCGCAATTACCTGACCCGATGACTAGCGTACCCGCTGCGGCATTTATAGCTGGAGCTGCGGTGCAGCAAGCTCATCGAGCATCCGACCTCGCTGCTCAGGCAGCCAATCACGCCTTGCACCAACAGCAGGCCGCCGACCAGGCGAGACAAGAGGCCGGATGGATCAGGGAAAGGGCTGTAAGAGAAGTATCAGACGTTAGGGTTCAGGCCGCTCAGCTAGCTTCGCAAGCACAGCAGGCTGTACAAACAGCACAACAAAGTGAGGCTCAGGCTAGGCAACTAATCGAGCAGACACGACAGGAAGCCATTGGCCATGTCGAGAACGCACGACAGGTTGTTAATGCCACTCAACAGGACGCTCAGCATGAGGTTCAACGCATTGTTCAAGAGGCTCAACAGGCAATCTCACAAAGAGAACAAACCATTGCCAGTCAAGAGCATACCATTCGTGGATTGTCCCAGGAAAATTCTGTGATGCATCAACGACTTGGTGATCTCGAACGTGTTGTTGCGCAACTCACCCAACAAGCTCGTGCGACCCCTGTTCCGATGCAAGAGTCCCCGCCAAAAGCCGCATCAATAGCCGAAACAGCTACGGAAACAAGCGCGGCTAAAGCCTCAAGTCAGGGCACAGTTCCCCCAGGAACCCATCAGCCGGTTGGAGCACCTCAGGTTTCAGGTTCACAAGATGTCTCCGGTGTTGCCGCATCGTCGCAAGGGAATGCTTTTATAAGTGCTATCCCCGACCCTCCGTGTGGTTCTGTTCAAAATTCAGGACTTGGTCACGATGCCCCAGCTGATTCAAGGGACCCTGGTGGGGGTGCAACAAGTCAACATCTCGTAGGCCATTCGGCAGTGCTAGGAGCAGCGTCCTCTGTTGGAGACGCAGCCCCCGGCGCGTCGAGGACTAGCGGGTTGGGTAGAGACGGTACAAGGGATCAGGCCGATGTGAGAGTGCAAGTGACGGCGTTAGCGGAAATGGTTCAGCAGCTTTCCCAATTGGTTGCTAATCAAGTGGCTCCGCCACCTCCGCCTCCGGCCGCACCACCTCCAGCGCCTCCCACGCTCCTCGCAGGGGCGCCGCCTCCGCCAAAAGCTGGCAACGGCACTCGTGTTCCGCCAGTACCAATCACAATGTTGGGAGGGTTGTACTCGTCATCCCCACAAGCGCCATCGGCCGCTAGCTCCGACTCATCATCAGACTCCGATGGAGACGATGATACCCCACAATGTCGAGTTTGCGGCGGTAGCCATGAAGACACGGATTGCCCACACCTCACCATGAATGGTGGTGGGGCAGGCGGGGGAGGCTCTGGCCAGTTCCCCAATGCAGACCCGTCTCAAGCTGCCGATCCCAGTGTAGGCATGACCGCCGTAGATCACGCCGCATATGAGGAGTCCGTTGTTCGCGTCAAGGATCTCAAGGATCTCGTGTTACCATCCCCTCCGGAGAACGCTGGACAGGCTAGAGGTTTCGTCAACCAAGTGTTGATGGCCATCGGTCGACTCCAGAAGACCCCCCGGAGATGAAGTGTACCAGTGGGCCCAAGCATGCATGTCCTCCACCGAGCAAGAACTCATCGCGGACAAGCGTTTCCCACGGTTAGATCGTGAAGTAGCCGCAAAGCTCCTTAAAACCTGCCGCAAAGGTAAGTTCGGGCTCTTGTTTCAAAACATGGTTGAACAAGAGAGAATCTCATCAGGTGGGATGCCCGTAGGGAGAATCATGTTGCGTGCCATCTTCAAGCACTTTCAGTTGGAACGAGGTAGGATAGGGACCTTAGGAGGCCGTAACTTGTTAAAGTTGTCTCTTGCAGGCCCGTCCCTTGCTGACCTGGATGCCTTTCGGGAGAAGTACGTTTACGTGCTGACCGCAATCCCCGTAGCAGAACAACCCAGGGAAACAACCTTGTTCGATCACCTGTTGGATGAGCTGGAAAAGTGCACAGCGCTGAAGCCTAAGGTAGAAAAGGCACGGGAAGCCCCTATCGGCAGCCATCGTAGGAAGCCGGAATGGTTGTGGTCCAAGGTTGATCTAGCCTTGGAGCTCCATCAGGACAAGCGGAACAGGGATGAGTTTGACAAAAGTCTTCAAATCAAGCCAGCCGTCATGTCCCAGGGGAATAATCCTAATGCCATGCCCGCAGCAAGCAGCGAGGACAAGCCCAACAAGAAGAGTAAGAAAAGCAAAAAGGATAAATCTGCTGACCAGCAGACTCCGGCAGCCCCTGCGCCGAAGGTTAAAGCTCCAAAGCCGCCTCCTCCTAAAGCTAATGCAGCACCAGCCCCCAAGGGCAAAGGTAAGGGTGGTTCGAGCGATAACCTTACTCCTAGGTCTAAGGCCATCAGCAAGACAGCCAATATGACCGCGGCAGAGAAAGCCAAGACGCCATGCATGTTTTATGCCTATAATTCGTGCAAGGCCAAACAGTGCGCATTTCTCCACAGTGATACCAACAAGTACACTGGTCCCAAGCCCAAAAGTTTGTTGTCACCGCCGCCGCCAAAGGCGAGTGCAGCTGTTGCACAGCTCATTCCGGCAATGGCAAGCGTCGCTTCTGACGACAATCGCATCAGTTGGCTTTGGGATACTGCCGCAGGGAGACACTTGATCGGACGTCAAGCTTTGAATAGCAACATGATCAAGTGCGTGCGCGAGAGCAGCACACCCGTAGGTTTTGCGACTGGGGGTGGTGCCCAACAAGGCACTACTTCATTAGGGTTCGAGGACAGCCGAGTGATACCTGCTGAAGAGCAGGTGTACGTCCTCCGTGATTGCCCACCAGCGCAATCCATCGGGAAGACCGTAATGGATCAAGGACACCTTTTCATTTGGGATCCTCGTGAAAATGTTCCATACCTTGTTCCCCCAAAGGACATCAGTAGATGCAAGATTAACGTGCCCCGCAATGCGCGCATTAATGCATCTAGGGTAGTGGAATACGTTCCCCAATATGATGAGGTGGTAAAACCCAAGTTGGCAGAGTCGTCAACTCACCTCTGGCCGATTGAAGCCGCTGCTATGAGCGCGGCCGAAGACGATGTCGTTTCTCTGTGCGATGACTCGTGCCAAGCGTCCAGATGAAGGTGAGTCAGATCAGGTTCCTGTGAACATGCTAGCGGCCGAGGAAGCCCCTCCTCCCGAGGATGAACTTCCGTTGATCGCCTTCGGG